TTCTGCGATATAATGTGACGGAGGCAGAATCAGGCGACAGAATGGACCACATACACCAAAGACGCCGAGCGCCGCTGCCCTCAAATCGAGGGAATCTTTCAGGCGCTTGCCACCATAAAGCCCATTATACTCTCCGTGCAACACAAGTTCAACTAAAACGTCGAGCGCAGATGCGGGTTCTAGCCTGTCCCACTCTTCGCCATTTGTTTCGGGAACGGGCATGTAGGGCGTCACTACAACATCGGCCAATGGGAATGCGAGGTTGCTGGGGAGTAATCGAAGAGCCTGATAGCCGTGAGAACATGGTTGAGATGGGCCATGGCATACGTACGCACCTGTGTCTTCAGGGATGTGGGTGCATTTGACGCCAACGCAAGCTCGAGCAGACACCGCATGAAAACGTGAATTTCCTGACTCTGAAAAACCACGTAAGGAAAAGGCGTGGAGCTGAATTAAAGTGTACTGACGGTACTCCCCTTCGAGCCGATGAGCATACCCATAATCCCGATCACCAGAGAAGCATTGGCAGCCTTCTTTGGATCCCAGAATTGTAAGGCAAACTCTTGCGGTGGGGCGTCCTGTGGCTGGAGTTTAGAAGGGAAAAGTAGGAAGGAACATAACAAGGCTGGCAATGACGTTCCACGGAAATAGCTCTGAGGACAGATCGTCAGCAGACCACCGACATCGACCAAGTAGAAACACACTTGCCTGGTTCGACGAGTTGAAACGCAGTAACCCGTCGACACAACGCAGTACGTCGTGAACGATCACATCACCTTCAATTCCGCCCTCCCGCGTAACAATCTCAAATAACTTCTCGAAAGCTCCTTCGAAGGCGAGAACTTTTTGGATATCTGGACTCTGTGATGTCAGAGAGTGGATTGTAGCAATGCTTTCTACAGAAAGATCTGTTAGCATGCACCAGATTCACTTCGCCTCTGGGAGGGGTGTGCGTTCGGAATATACGCAAGACCTCGCAAGCCGTATTCGATACAGAGTATGAGCGACTTACCATTGCGAATAATTTCGCGTTTGTCCTCCAGAACCGCTATGATACTTGAAGCAGCATTTGAGGCTTTTAAAAAGTGATTCTGTACCACGGACCGCTTGTTTTGCAAAAGAGTCGACAATAACTGAAGTGTCGAATAGCGGATATAAAACTGTGAGCTGTGAAGTAACTTGAATAACGTATGCGTAGCCTGCTCGTCCTGAAGGAAATAATCCGTATGTTTGAAAGATATCTCCCTGTCCTTTTCTTTATCCTTCGCCGTCTCATCCACTTCACAAAGATGGTGTAACGTCTCGAGCACGGCCTTGCCTATGTCCGGGTCGACTTCGGCATCGTCTTGAAGGACTTGGATGAGACCTGGGAGAGCCCTGTCTCCGACATCTGCCTTGCAGTCACGAGTGAGACCCTTCAGAGCAAGGACTGCTGCACGTCTGTCGGCCAGAAGGGTTGAGGGAGAGAGCCGATCGCTGAGTTTCGCGATGGTGTCCACGGCCGACTGAGGAGCACCCGTTGGACCACGTAGGGCAATATAAGTCTGCGAAAGAAAGTCCATTGACGTCGTCCAGGCCTTTCTTAGTGGACACTCTGATGGTGACCGTCGGCACTACCACCGAAGTGCTACTTGACGGTCAGACAGGCTCGAGTACTGAGCGGTAAAGTCGGGGAAGCACGTGACACGTTGGGCTCAGTCGCACAGCCGCAAACTTGTTGCGTAGTATCCAAACGGTTATACTTAGGTACGTGGTTACAGGACGTCGCCTGAATTACTGAAAGAAGGGTACTCACCAGCGTTCATCAGCAGCGCGTTTAGAACCTACAAGAAACCCGCAGAGGACTCGTACATCATGTAGCTTCCGCCCCTCTGCACATTCGCACCAACCCTAACCAAGCACGTTGACGGAGTAACTCCCGTACAATATGTTACATGCGGATTCTGCACAGTGAAATGGTGCGTGACGGCAAGGTAAGCATGCTGCACTCAGTGGTCTTACTGTTTTTTTTTGGAGTCAACCTAATGGCCGGCCCCACGCTGAAGCTTTGCTGGTCCTTTATCGCCACATGGCAGAGTCCTGCCTTCACAACCGTGCCTGTTACTTTTGGGCTTCACACATTTGTTTCGTTCCTTAGCAAACCACTATTGATTAATTATTTGCCGAAGATGCTGCTCTCTTTGATCCATTTGCACGCAGTGAGATAGAACCAATCTATACACATCGTTCCACAGTGATGCACTGGTCTTGCTCCCAGCGTGTGCTTATCGTTCCGTTTGTATGTGAAAACGCTCAATCACGGGATTGGTATCCGTTCTAAGTTCGTTGACAATACCCTTGAGGTCATACGGCTCCCTTGGCACTGCGTCGGACGCATCCTCGCTGGCAGTCGCGACGCACGATATACGCTCCCCCCTAAATCATCGTCGTCGTGAATTCAATTTGTTTGTCCGTATGTTGAAGAAAAAATCCTCTTCCGGCTCTTCCGCTCGAGTACCTGGACCTTTTTTGGGGGGGTTCGGAGCGTGTTATTTGCAGGACCGTCCATATACTGCGTGGACTGGGTGTACCATCAAAGGTCAGAGATATCCTGATACTACGTCAGAGGCCGCGAGCGGTTTAAGATAATCTAGCGACGTCTGAAATTTTCTTTCAAGCGTGAGATCTCAACGATCTTAACATCGCTACCTTGTTCACAAGGTCACTACCTGGTATGCTGGCGCGCTGCATTGATCATAGCTGTCGCGAAATTCGATTAGTTGACTACGCTTCTAAGTAGCTCGAACACAAATATACGTAAATACCTCGCCAGCCTGTTTGGGCCAATCTCCACTGCGTTCAAGCCTTGAGGCCCCATGCGCAGTGTGACCAACAGGGATTCTTGCATCACCCCGTCACCTACCCTTTCCCTACCGGATCCTTGGATAATACGTCGACCGCAGTACAATGACTATTCAACAGAAGCTCACTGATTTAGACAACCCATTGGAAGGTGGCAGCCAGGAAGAGGCAACCACAGGATCGATCAAATCAAGGGAACTAAATGGTGATCATACTCTATCCACCGGTTCCTTGCAGGAACCCATGGAAGTAAGTATCATCCAGTATTGGAGAATGCCAGGTGAACACTGAGTCACAATCGGCATCTAACGACCAGCAGGATGAGGAGCGAATGGAAGAGATTATCAAAAATCTTGGCAAGGGCTTTCGCAAGCTCAAAGATGAGAATGCCCAGTTGAGAACTTCCACACAAAAGTTACTGGCAGAAAACACTACCTTGCGGGAAGCAATTCAGAAGGAACAGAAGGAGAACGCTGCCCTCCAGCGAGCCCTGCAGAAGGAGGAGGAAGAAAGGTTGGCTACTAAACGTTTATTAAACAAAGCGCAGGAACAGGCAGAAGAGCTGCGCGTCGCTGATCGGCAAGCACGAACGGAGGTGGATGCTTTAAAACGTCAGTTATCGAGCAAGGAGTTGGAAATTGAAGCAGTCAAGAGAGAACTGCACGGAAAATACCCGGAACTACCCAAAGTTGCTGGACCGCTGCAGGGATATCAAGCCAAGGTGGTCATAGAAGACGACGTCCTTTTGCTTATCACAACTCTGAACACAGAGATAGCGGAGTTGTGTATAGCTATCGCCCATTCCGAATCCTTTGCATTTGCACGGAAACCTGGCATGGAAGACACTACTAATGAACGACTCGCCGCCTTTATGAATAAATACTACGACCCGAGATTTTCTGTGATGGGCTGGCTTTATGAGCAACAATGCGGCAGAGTGGATCCCTTGATATTGGAGATAGCGCTCCGAGAGGCACTTGTGGCAATATCGTCCTGGATTATCTCAGAACGGGACCCAGCTCTCGAAGGCATCGAACCTACAGGTAGGAAACTGCGTTTGCTCTAGATGTGACGTCTGACCAGTTCTCTCAGAAATCCAGCTTACCGATAATACTGGGGATCCATGGGGTAGGCTGGTGCACATTATCGCCAGGGAGCTCCCATGCAATACGTTACGCTACACATTGCGGCGAAGCATCTCCGTAGTCCTCACCTTGTTCGTAATGGCACCCACTGGATGTGCCGCCGATGATACGACCTGTTGTGAATTTAGCCTCAAAGCAAATGAACAGCTCACCAAAATCATTGACCTGATTTTACAACTTAGTACGATCATTGGGACGGGAGGTACGGAGGAACTATGGATCCACCGGGGTGTTCCTGGCGAAGAATTTGACCCCGACATGATGGACGACTTTGAGGATCTTACGGAAGATGACCAAATAGATGGCACCATACTCGGGACAACTGCTCTTGGATTATGCAGAGCGGTCATCTACCCCGACGTATACACCGCCGGACTCCACCTCAAACCACTCCTAAAGCCGAAGGTAGTCCGCAAGTCCTTCCTTGATAATCTGCAGCTGGAGGACGAAGACTCTGATGAAACCACAAGCGAGGTTTCGAATGAGTACGACACCGAAGATCGAGCAGATAATGACGGGTAACGTTCATTCCCTCGCTTTTTACAAACTTCACCATTTGCTTATGGAGGTGTAGTGATTCTTTACGCTCCTGGTAAGGAATCGACTCGCTTTGGCGACAGCGGACTGTGCCGATGTCCCTAGGACGTGCCTTGCTTCGTTCGCAGTACGATCTTACGTTTCCATAGCACTTCTTCAACGCACGACTTCACGTTCCTTTTTTTTTTTTCCAACGTTGCAAAGTGGTCTGCAACTGGTACACTACCTTTTAGGGTGTAATCATGACACCCTTTGTTACGGTTGTGCACACACTCTTCGGCTAATCCTACATTACACGTCTCGGGTCCAGTGAGTTGACACTACAGGCTACTTAGGTTCTCATTGTTATACTAGCGCCGGATTTTTTTTTTTTCAACGCTACTGCATACCGTAGCTATTAGCAGTGTATGGCTCCTTGCCAACTGAGCAAAGCCTCGCTAATGTAATGGTAATTGTTTTTGTCCGGAACGTCAGACATCTCTGGTAGTATATCGGATAGTACACCCGCCTGTCACTGTCAGATCGTTAAGACTGAGACCGCGGGAGAGCGGGGTTCGACTCCCCGCCAGAGAGATTTTTTGTCTCACGTGTCCAGATTGTCAAGGCTTTGTCTTACGAGCCCGTAGCATGACTCTCAACTCTGTAGCTCATTACATACTATCGTAGGCTCCTTGATATACTACTGACTGATACTGGTACTATGGTATATGTAATAGAGAAACTGTCGTCGATCCGTGACCGTCTACAGTATTGAAGTTATGTATTGTCCCTTATGCGTTTTACTGTACCCCCACTCAATCAAGTCTCTCACTTATAGCCCATCTCTGCCACAGTCTCCGTGCAGCCGACACTTCCAATGGATAAGTTTGCCGCACGCCTGCATGCCAGAGAGTGTGATGCGAAATGTTCCAGACGTTCCACACCTGGCACCACTCCACCCTCCACACAACTCCCGAAAGCCACTTCATACCAATTCACTGCTTCACAACGAAGCCCGCATCGTGATACCCGCCGCGACCGCTACATGACCGACCAGCACATCATATAACGTCTCCGCGAGCTGCCTCGGTGTTTCTTGAGGAACCTATTGAAGAGGGAAAGGTACGTGTGAGCATTAGTCTACCTCGTTGCGAGGCATTGAGGACGTAATAATGCAACGGAAGAGAACTTACAAGATGACCCGAACCAGGGACAACGCGATCGGAAATGACGCGTTGGGAGGCGGCGTCAAGGATGCCAGTTCTGGAGGATTGAGATCTACATGAAAGATGGAAGAGGATGATGATTGAACGCACGCTCAGCAGCCAAAGAAAAAAGGTACGCACATGTACTCTTCCGACTCAGCCCACATGATATGTACGCCACCACCTTCTAAATCCAAAGCCGCACACATATGCGCCAGGTGCGCAGGTTCAACGGTATGCTGCGAATACATATACAGCAATGATTCCTCTTCCTTGCGGTTCATGGATCGCACGTAGGTTCTTGATTTTGCCGTCGTCGTGGATCCTTGAAGTGGCAGGGTCGGCTCACAGACATCCTCGAGGGCGCGTTCCTGTACAGAAGGCGCGTTAGAGCGGTTTTCAAGGCCATGCAACTGGTGGTTCCCAGCCACACGGGATCCCGCAGCATACCACAAACAAATCCAGCACTCGACCATCCCACTTCGACCACGGAGTCTTCGCTTTCGCCTTACCATTACCGGTTCTTTTCTTGTGCCCACTCCCAACATTCTGACTTTGGCCCTCCCTCTGGTTCGCGCTGCCACTGATGTCGATATTCCTTCGCTGGTCCCCCTGATCCTCGGATCTGTTCCCCTGGATACCTAATAACCAACGCTTCGCCTCTGTACGACTAGACCACTTGTCTCGCTTCGCAAGTGACCCGCGCATATTGGCGTTGCTGTGGGTGACTCGAGGGTCATTAGAGGACATTCCAGGGAACATGATAACCGGCTCGATGAATAAGAGAGCGAAGGGGTGTGGATGGGAGCGTCGTTTGAAGAGCGTGAACACGTTTGTCCTAGGTACGTGTTCGGACGCGCCGAGGAAAGGTGCACTCAATGACGGAGCGAAGTGTGAGAGAATAGATGGAACATACCATGGCGTGCTGCTTCCCGAATGTGCAACGCCGACTACTCGATGGCCTTGCAGTTGTGGTATGGACAGAAATGCATTGAGATAACTTGTAAAGTCCATTGTCGCTGTTCATCATCATAGCCAGGTACATGATTGACGCGCCATATGGTTGATGATAGAGATGGACACGCACTGCATCTCCCATCCCAGCCCTCTTTCCGCCCCCTCTCCTGTCGATCCTCCAGATAGGCGCGGTTTAAGACTGCACTCTCGCCGTGATTGGGCATGTCGATCGACCATATATCTCTGATCATGTTGATGTAGCGATTTCCAGTAGCGTTCATCCGGAGGAGATGCGCGATCGTAGGGTGATAACTCTCCTTATCTGGCATTGTGGGGTCAGGCCCATACGACGAAAATGTGGGGAGGGGGGGAATACGTACGGCTGGATAGTCCGTGGGTCAGCACTAATGTCAGCCCTTGTTTGCTCTTCGAGACCGGATATCTCAGTGCGGCACACCGTACCGTCACGTCCTCCCTGCCTGGCACATTGTCCTGCAACGCGCCTCCGACGGGCAGACCAAACGTGGTTGGTAGTGAGAAGACATGTCTCTCTGGAGTGATATTTTCCATCTTGTCCAAGGACTTCGGGTATGTCTGTATCATCAGTGACAGCGTCCGGCTGGGTGATCGTTTGCAAGTCGAAATGGATGAGCTGGTTTAACGAGAAAAGAGCAAAGAACCTACGAGTTTTATGGTCTACTGCGGGCGTTTCGTTCTCTCCAAACTGCATAGTAAGCAACCCCCGAAGTCCACGCAGCGCTGCATGAGAAGCCACAAAAGAAAGGCGGTGTAATGTTTCTGTTATTATTATGCCCTGCTACAGCGGACGAGAGGGAGTTACAGAAGAGTGAGGTAGATCTGGAGTGTCTGGTGAGCGGCCCATATCGTCGGGATGACATCTTACTACTGCTTGCGTCGCGTCTTGATCCGTTTCAGTTTGGTGCGACGTTTGGACGTCAAATCCAGATCAGTAGAGATTTGAAACACGACAGTCCTGTCTCAGCCCAGCCGACGGTCATCGATCGCGGAGTGAATATTTTCGACCCCGCAGCAGGTCAGCGCTTGCATGATACAAACGTCGGGTTTGAACTAAGAAAGACTGTGCAGTGTATGTACCTTGCGCGGCAACCACATACGCAGACGCTTGCTTAGAGAGCGTCCGTACTTGTCGGCATTCCGCCACCCGAAGGATCAACCCAGAGACGGTAACACATAGTAATCGCCCTCAGGCGAGACAATGAACATTTGTCTGGCTCTGATCGCGTGAATATCAGTGGCTTGAGGGACGCGCAACGCCCATATCGATCAAGGACGGAGGGCAACAGAGTCCGAGTAACTCTCTGGATGGACGGTGGATCGTGTCCGGTGACCGCGGAAAGAAGGTCGTCGTCTGGAACGCGGCCGGTACCCCACGAGAACTAGGGCATGAGCCTTACGTAACAGCAGTCACGCGACTGCACCAACTAGTCATCGCTCCCTCCCACTTCTGCGCTGTCGGTGTCGAGCTCTCCCCAGACGGAACTCGGTTTGCTACCGCCCCGTACAACAGCGGTTTCCGTGTCTACTGCACCCACAATGACGCGATCTTGTTCGGCTCAGGCAGCCAGGGTTCAACCGACGCAGCGTCCGCGGTCACTCCGCTGGCCTGGTCATCCGATGGTCAGCAACTGTTCGTAGCGACCAAAGGCAAAATCACCTGCTTCAACGTTTCCAACTCTTCGTCCTCAGAATTGTCCATCCATGAAACTCAATCTCCTATATCTATAGCATCCAATGGCAGAATGATTGCATGCTCCGCGGGCTCATCAATCTCGCTATGGGATTGCGTGTCCCACAAGCAGATTGGTAGCATCATCACACACACTACCAAGGTCTGGAGCGTTGCTATCTCACCAAGCGGGGGTTATCTTGCATGCGGAATTGGCAAGAATGTCATAATTCACATCGCAAAAACATCCCACGCTTGGATTATTTTCCCCATAGTGTAAGCGGGTACCCTCATTATGCCACGTAACACTTTCAATTCCATGTTTCTTAGCTTCCTCTCGTGCAAGAAAGCGGCGGGATCCTTAAATCATGGATACAGGGCGATCCGACGGACACCGAAACGCTGCTATCAGAGGAAATCACAAATACTTAAGGTCCTAGCCACCACCTGCTAGCAGACCACGCTCTCTCACGAGCGTGTTTGCAACACGCGGACCTTGCAATGCAGGATGACGGGAGGTGGGTCTCCTTTTTCACCACCTCACGTGCACGTTCACTTACACACATTTCAAGTCCCTCCGGGTTCAGCCATTGCCAATCAGCTGTATCGCAAAGGTGGTTGCTCTACTCGGCCAGGGCGATCGAGAGGATGCACTGCGCACATTCGACCTTGCCTTCTACGATCGTAACCCGGACGACATCAGACCCCTCTCGCTATCAAAGGTACGTGAGGTATTCTAGATCGTTCTCGCAATTAATCCACGTTTCGCTCAGTCGGTCCTCGCGTTTGAATCAAGAAATCAAGAAGACGCGATATCGCGCGTAGAACACCTTGTTGCACGAGCAAAAGACGATGCCGATGCCGATGCCGCCTACGAGTACGCCCAGGCACGTGCTTCGCGTGGTGCAGACCTCTATCACCACTGATACATTCGGCAGGTTCTGGGAGTGATGTACATAAAGAAGGGAAATTACGGACGTGCGATACCAACATTGAACCTATGAAGAATGTAGCTCCCAAGGATAAACAGTGTCCCCCTCTAGTGACGACCTCCTCGTAGGCCTTCTGTCGTTACCGCCTATCACATAATCTCTCCCTCCATGGAGATATTTGGCTGGGGTTTCAATGGACTGGACGTCGTTGCTCAGCAGTGTCTATGCGAAACCCTCTATGCTGAAGGATGTACAGCCGAAGCTGTGGAGATTCTCCTCAACATCCTCAAGGTATCAAGCAAGGAGACCCAGGAAAGCAAGGCGACTGGGATTGGATCGCAGGTATGACCTACAGCTGCTAGCCTTGATGTTGTACACGGTAATATCCATGATCAGATTTCATTCAAAAATGTACTATGACACTTGAGTGCGTTGGCGATGAGGCCTTGGGATCTGCAAAACATGATGACGCAATTACACGGTACTCTACTGTGTTTTCCCTTAGTCCTCCAATTCCCGCAGGCCTCTTTTCCAAGCAAAGCAGAGCTCGAGCGGAAAAAGGGTTATGGGAGGATGCACTACGAGATGCGAACAAGGTATGTATGGTACCCTTCTTATACGAGTCAATTCCCTACAATTGCCGCACAGGCAGTGAAAATGGACCCCTCTAACCCTTGGGGCTATGAAGCCAAGGATGTGGCGCCTCATGGGGTGAAACGGTATGAGGAACCTATCGATGCTTTCAAATCTATGCTGCACGCAATCGAATAATCTTATGACCCTAAAATCAGG